ATACATAATTGGCGATATATCGTTATAGGTGAAGCAAATTGTAAATCCAGCACATTTACTATAAAATAACAATCGGCTACACACACAGATTGTGTGGGCCTCTGTGTCATAATTGGAGCGGAAATATAGCACTCAAGCAGGGCGATTCTGATGTAGAAGTTTTGTTTGGTTTATATTAAAGGTGATTTCCTCAACACCCCCAAATGTGCTTCAATAATTTTGATAGAATCTTCTATTTTTTCACATGTGCATTCAAACGGAACGCATAATCAACTTATCAACCTCGTTCCCAGGTTCTCTCTCTTTCCAGTCTCTCTCTCGCTCCGTAGGAACGGGTAGGGGAGAACCCTGGGAACGAGGTTGCCATCTTACTTAACAAAACTAATTATCATTCGATGCAAATGTTTCTTCCTTTCCATTGGCCGAGAGCCCACCACGTGACCTGCAAATAACTGCCTACAAATAGTGGTGTGCTCATGCGCAATGTCGTTCAACTGTTTTCGGCTGCAAATACTATTCTGCTCATGTGTAAATGAAACCACGCTTTTCTCCTTCTTGCGATCGCTCTTGCGTGAAAATGACAGATCGCTTCGCTTCCCGTAGATATTCCTTAAAAAACAAACTTGGTGATCGAATGATAAAACAATTATTGAACTCGGTTATCGCAAAATGTCGTGATTTGTCAGTGTCTCGCAGATCAGTTATTATTTGCCTCAGCCGATCTACTCACCATTGACAACTCACGATATTTTGCTCAACCTCGTCCACTAATTGCCAATTATTTGCCAACTTTATTGCCAAATATATAATTTAAGGGTTTATTTGTTGTTAAGGAAATAAAGGGAGGTGTAAAGAATCAACCATAAGAGGACACAGAAAAAGTCTGAGCCCCAGATGGGATTCGAACCCATGACCCTCCGTGTTCTAGATCGGATGCTCTAACCTCTGAGCTACTGAGGACAAGGGTCATTTTTGTGGGTTGGATTTGCGAACCGCGTCTCGCAGTCACACATGTACAGTCCATAATTTGTTATTGGTTAAAAAAATCACATGATTAATCACAAGACTTAGCTGTTCCTGGGGGAATTGCCCAAAGATTACATCATAGTCTTCTGAAGAGACAAACGGCGCGCATGCGCATTATCGTGAACCAGTCCCTTTAAACGAAGCTGAAGGTGGCTTATTGTTCGAATTCAATCTTCTGTTCTCCAGCAACTCCTAACAAAATGAATACTTTGCTTGCCTCTTTATTGGTTTTTACCATTTGCCTCTCAGTGGGTGAGTACTTTACGATAATTTGTCAGGTGCGAGTAGATATTTGAGCTGGGTGTGCCATACTTACAACAAAACATTGCGCGTATTAGTTTTAGTCAAATTTAGCAAACTTTAAGCCTTAAAATAAACGCAGTTGCTCTCATTGCCACTTTGAATGTTTGAAGTTTCTTTCTAAGTCACTAAATATGTCCATTTTGGTCAGTTTGGCCCTCCTCGTGTGCGCCTACATATAGCAGGCGTTATTTATCTAAGGTTCGATCTGGTGCTTCAGTTCCCATTCGAATGTCTGGAATGTCTCCTCCTTGCACCTCTGCTGGCCATATAAGATCACTAGAAAGAGTAATGACGAGGGTATATAGCCTTGTCTACACTGAATAAATCGAGATAGGTCTCTGTGAAGAAGTACCAGAAGTACCTCATGAAAAATGCTGAAACTAGTGATTCAGGTCAGTTAAAATCCTGTGAGCTAAACACCCCTCCAGAAAATCATGCACCCTTATAAAACCTCACACCCTCGGTGCTTCTGTGACGATAGGTTTCGCCCTTTCATGCACAAATTGGGGAAATAAGCGTTAAGAGAATTCGAGCAACTTCGGCGTATAAACAACAAGGGGCAAAACTAACTCTGCAGCTCGCTTAGCAAGCAGGAAAGGAACTCGTCACTGTTCCACGGTACTAGGATCTGCTACAACTGGAAAACAGGACAGCACTCAAACTTGGACTTCAACAGTTGAATCTCGTGGACGTAAATCATACAGGCATGTGCATCCAAAATGTAAATCGTACAAGCATGTAAATCCACAATGTAAATAAAAAAACAGAGATAACAGTGCTCTATTTATACTAATCGATCAGCTTATTACAACATCACAAAACAGATGGAAAGAAGCGCTGAATAAAATTAGCTGAAACCTAAAAACAAGCCTGGATTAATTCAGCTTTAAAATTCATATGCTATAAACTAGATGACTCAAAATTAAACGTCAATCAAGCAAATTGGGAAACTTAGTTATACAAAGATTCAGCACCATTAAAAGCTGTGCAAAAAGAATTCGAGTTTCCTTTGCTCAGGATTCGTTAAAATGTCAAAACTTAGAACTTAAAAGGTTGTTATTTGAACAGGCGAAAGATCCAGTTATTCAGTAAATGTGTATAATTTAAGAAAACTAAAACATGTCAATGTAAATTCAATGTAAATTACGGCTAAAACAACTTCAAATGGAATATTTAAAAGCTAGATAAGAAATTCGAGGCAAATAAACAATTCATGGGAAATCTCTCCTTACACTTACACTTTTCTTTTATCTTTGTTAAAATTCTAATTGCTGTGGTCCTTGAAGTCTCTAAGTCTGTGTGGTGAGCTTATAGGTGTCGACTTCGTTCCAGGTTGTTCAGCGTATACATTTTCCAGCGTTTAGAGTGATTACTGCTTTTGAATCTTAAAGAGCGGTTATGCTTTTCTGAATCCAAATTGTTCTGGGTTGAGAATGTTATTAACCTGAGATCAGGCCCAATTTGAGCGGTTCTCATACATTCTCTCTAACGGCTACCGCTAAAATTGGGCCTGATCCAAACTCATTCACGTTTGTGCTCGTTACGGCCAGATTTTGGCCGTAACCCTGATTGGCTGTCGGAAACGCCGGAAGTTGAAAGCGCTTATTCCTCGCGTGGTTGTTTTCGTCAATGATCCGTCGTCGGCGGAGAGAAGGATCGATTTTGTTGTCTTTTTTATTGTTTTATGGTCTCATAGTAGGAAAATATGCCTTAATATGTGCCATGGAAATTCAGAAAATTCATATGGTTGTTCATATCTTCTCAGGATTTGCTTTATTTACGGAAAGTGAGTGTATCGCGGAGTTGAATCCCTCTGCAATTTGTTGACCTCTAACAAGGTGCCTTTTGATAGAGCCTGATCTCAGGTTAGAATGTTACAGATTTGGATATATTTATTCAACCTGTGAACAATTTGCCCAGACAACTTGTCAAAGTGATTCCTCTGTAATTTTCTGGGGACCTTCTATCACCTTTTTTGTTTGTTTTCGGTTTTCCTAAGATTTCATCATTTTACAAATTTTCTGTTTCGTCCGAGTCATTTGCAAAACTTGTATTTACATTTGTTTCATTGTTATATTGTCGAAAATATTGTATCCATGCTTCCGGAGATATGAGGGTTTCTTCTTCGACCGTACTTTCTTTTCGCAGTTTGTTGATCTGCCTCCAAACGTCTTGACTGTGTTCCGAGCTTAATGCATTTATCTCGTTAATAAGATCATTTTTGTATTTCTTATGCATCAATTTGACCTGTTTTTTATATTTCTTTTTAAGGGCAAACCATTCCTTTTGCAAAGATCTATGAGTTGTAGGATTCATTTTCTTTGCAAGGTGTTGTAATTGTTTCTTTAAGAGTGCATCCACGAAAGGACCAGGCAGGGGCGGCACAAGCCATCTAACCGATTTCGATGAAACTTGGCCAGTTTGAAGGGGTCTGCCCAAAACTAATTCACTCTAAGTTTAAGGAAATTTGGTCGAAACCGGGGGGAGTTGACCACCCCCCTTGTTTTTTTTAAAAAAATGACCAAAAAACACCTAAAAACTGATCAAAAGTATAAAGCTCTACTGCTAAAAGAATTCTACCAAACCTTTTCATATTTTCAGTGAATGTTATCCTACCCAAAGACAATTTATTGTAACTGTTTCGTTCTTCTACGACAAGTTCCTATGACACAAGTCATCTCAGCCAAGACCCCCCCCTCTCACCCAATAGTGAAAATTGTTGAAATATCCAAAGTTTAGGCCAAATATCTCCAATGCCGGAGCATGCTTCCAAAAACGGAGCATACCGTCTAGAAGACGGGACTTCATACTAACATTATCTGCAAAAAAATCTTTGGGCACTCATTTAATTATTCCACAGGAAGACTGCAAACACGTTGTCCACCACAGGGTACCTTCGTCAATTTTTTTCCATTATAACGCACTACTTCGGTAATTATGGCACAGCAACAGCCAAATAATGCCACAAACTGGTTGCACAACATACACTTTGATGAAATAGAACCATTTCTATCTAATAGCTAAAATATTAAAAAAAAAACTTGGCCCACCACAGGATACCCACTTCATTTTTTTTCATCATAACTCGCTAATTCGGTAATAAAGACATAGCAGCAGGTAGAAAATACAGCAAAATGGTTACTCACTATAAAATTTAATGAAACTGAACCATTTCAAAAGCTTTTGTTCGTCTTAAGCCATGAAAATGACAATCGACGTCTTAATGATGACCTCTATTATTGTATAAATGAACTTCGTGACGGAACTTACTCATCGCTAAGTGAAACACGAGAGTCACAGAACTCTATCCAAATGCTTACATTGCCTGTATTTGAACGTTAGAATGATCGTATAATGAAACTGACTTTTGTTCATTTAATAAAGGAATAATACATTTGCTTGAAACTTGCACGCCACATTGTATCTTGATGCAGAAAACTTTATCAGAAAGACCTTGCTATACTGAAAACAAAATCAACTGCGTGTTTTTGTGACTTGTGCCTTAAAGAACTGTCCTTTGTAAGAACTATCAAAGACAAAAGTCAAAATAGTTATAATCACACAGACAAACACTCTCATCAAAAGGAAAGTTACAGTTCTAGCTCCCTCCTGATTTGAAGCCGTGTTCTGATGAGGGGAAGTTCAGCCTCATATGGGTCTTTCTCCTCATCTTTGCTTTCTCCTCCCTCGGGTACCGGTTCTGTTGGCGCTGGCCTCACCTCCTCTCTTCTATGAAGACCCCCACTCCTGTTTAATGCGGCCATTCTTCTGAAATATCCGGAGATCTGGGTAGATGTCAGCCACTCGTCTTTGGTAAATACCTTTGTTCCCTCAGCGGCTCGCACGGACCTCATTCGTGCTGCTACATCCTCAGCCGCTGCTTTATTCCCGATGTCCTCTCCTTGAAGGAAGACTTCACGCAAAAATTGGCGCACTTTAGTGGTGAAATGAACAGACTTCTTGGCCTTTTTTAATGCCCAGCCCATGTCAGCTGTTGGCAGCGGGTCTTCCGACTGGCTATGGGAAACTGAGGCGGATGCAGATGTTGGCGGCTGAGCTGCTTCCACGTAGCTACCAGAAATTGACTTGCAGGTCTCTGCCCACTTTTTCTTTATCACGTCGTACATGGACTCTCTCTCTAACGCGAGAAGGTGTTTCCCGGCATCGAGGTGACGCTGAAGGCTGCTGTGACTTTGGTAAACTTTGGTGCAACCCTCCTCTGGGCAGCCAAAGGCCACACGCTCTTCTTCTTCAAGCTCAATCCGTTCTACGGTTATAGGGTCCGTTGGAGGTGCTACGGGCTGCTGTTCTTGCGTGCTGGAAGATGCACGGAAGACACCAGTCAGTATGTCAGGACTATTGAATGCCTGGAGAACTTGTAAGTTTGTCGGGCCTTGAGGGGTACCGAGACGCGCTAGCGACGCCTCGGTAAAGACCTTTCCGGGTCCGACATTGTAGGCCCGCCAAGCGATCATCTCTCCACTTTCAGTGAACACGAAGTTGTTCAAAGACTGTATGCCACTCAGCGGGTGCTTGGTCATGTTTTGGGACCTTTCGTCAACCTTGCACACCACTGAGTAGCAGCCTTTGACGCCCCCATGAAAGTCAATAACAGCTTTCATGTCACTTGCTGTCTTGACGTCATTGCCTTCATTAATGTAGCGCCTAATGTGGCTCTTCATGGCGGCGGCTCGGCGGTCACATATGTCTTTCCCAGCTTGGGCCTCACTGAAGTCATAACGAGCTATGCGGACACCAATTCGCTGGCCAAGGCTTGGGAGACTGAGAAGAAGAAATGCGCAGTGATAACAGCCTGCGTTGTCAGATCTTAGGAAAGCTTCATTCAGTCTAGGTTTCTGTCGCTTCATGGTGGTTAGTGAATCTTCGATGATAGAGGCAACGCTGAACCAGTTTTGATTGCATTCATCAAATAAGTGGATATATGTACGTGCCTGAAAATCATAATAGTAAAGCATTTTTTACCATGAATAGTGCGCCAAGGGACCTAGTCACAGTCAAGGGCTAATGGAGTATTAACCTGCGCATTTTGACTTGAAACAGAGATAACACCCGGGAAGGTCTGCTTTTTTCGAGAATGTTTATGGCCTTTTATTTGGATTAAAATTGTACTCCGTCCCATGCGCTTTTGCGCGCGCTTACTTGCGTCGCCAACGTTTTATCTTTATATAAGTGCCGAAAGCAATGAAATGTTGAAATTCACTATTAGGAATTTAAGCTTTCGCGTCTTTTCTCGGCCTGGCATTCTTATCAGTTATCCAATTTTGCAATCGGTTAGCGCAACAAAGACCGCGCTCACGAGAAACTAGTTTATACTGGTCAGAGTAGGCACATGATTTCTACCTCAATTGTTCCATCTTCTGCTTTAGTGATGGCCACCGAGAGATGCCAGGACTTCCCCTTCTTTCGAAACCAGTCGCGCTGCGTTTCGCGAAAGCTGGTGGGAATAAACTTCATCGCCCAGTCTATTATTAGCAGAACCTGTGATGGTTTCAGGCTATCAACAATTTCGCTCTTGGCCGCATCCTGGTGAACTGAACGGAGAACGTGCGACTTCCAATCTTCTATGCTCGGCGCACCGCAGCTCAAATCATGCTGTAACTCCTCTCGTTTATCAGGACTAAAAAGGGAAAGAGTAGAGCTTGTCAACATCACGGCGCGATAGCGTCAGAAATTTTTCTTTGGAGCCGTTTTATCAAAAAATAATGATGACTCTCTCACTTTTTTCGTAAACTGCGTTTCATTTAAAACATATGTTCATTAGGTTTAGAACCACCCGAAGCAATTTAAAATTTCTAACTGAAACTCATATAAAGCGCCCTGGGGATTAGGTTGTTAGTTGACAATAAATGCTAAACTCTGCTTTTCTGTCACAAAGATGTTCTTACCTTAGATGTACTTCACCTGAATCCAACGCTAGTTGCAGATCTGAGACAGCATTCTTTAGGTCTTCGCAACGGTCACAGGTTATAGTATGCTGATGTTGGCACTGACCGTTGTACTCTTTCTCTGTCCTACTGAGGGCGAACACTCTGCAGTGATCTGCGCAAGGGGATTCGCTGGCTGTGTGGATCTTGAAATCCGTCTTCAGATACTGCCGACCTGCTTTGAGTCGCATTAGAATGTTATCGGCCATTGTACTATCCAGTCCTGTGATAGAAAAAATACACACAATAATAAATATTGATAGTCCGTCAGCTTATTAAAAGTTGTGACAACTCGTGCACCTACAGTAATAATGGAAGGTGTTTGTATCTCACCGGCTTGTTTAAGTTGATGAGTGATGTCTTCAAGAGTGGCGAGCGCCTGTACCCCATCTGTCTGAGTGCTATCAAGACCGGCTAACGATTTCTTTAGTGAAGCCCCACAAATCTGAAGAGAAACAAAATGCTTTGGTTTCAAACTAATTTCTGAATGCAAACCATTACTACTACTACACCACTACTAGAACTACAATTAACCCTGATCAAAATTCATCCTTTACGAACGTTTTATAATCCGAAAGGCTCAAAATTGGACTCTACACAAAAGTTCAGGTACATGCGCACTAGGTGGGAGGATATAACTGTGCGCACCATGTTCGGGATCTCTAAGCTCTCTCCACTCTCCAGTTTAAGAGTTCTGGTGCCATATGCCACATCTTGAAGAACTGATGGACTGGACAAGAAGTCAAGAAAGTGGTCAACTTTCACAGCATCCAAACGGCATCTGGTGATCCTTGGTGGGTCAATGGGTGCCCGGGCTTAGTTTGGAAAGCGTGCTTCCTTGCCTCGTCGATTCTCCATTTTGAGAGACCCGGAATCAAAGCCAATAGCTCGCTCTTCGAATAGTCGTTCACGAAAAGCGACAGGATCTGTTGTCTCGTGTACCAATTGGCGGCTTCCTCATACAGAATCAACAGTCTGGCAACCAGCGTGTCTTCGACTATACCCTCGGCCGCTTGTAAACGAATCTGCTGTTGCATGACTTGGTGGTAGAGCCAGCAGGCGTTGCCAGGGGCAATGGATTCAAACACGCCTTCGATAGCCTGCTCCGCCTTTTTCCGGTAGTAGCGCTGGGTTCTGGATGACATAGTAAGAACGTCACATTGGCACTGTGACCTCACCGGGCTGACCCTGCCTTCAGCAGCCATTCTGAGGAAATTATTAAGGTAGTAAAGGCGGTGCTGTATTTGAGGGGTGGGCTGCCATTCTGCCGACGTCTCTGCTGCGCCAAGAGACTCCTGGGATCCAGTCGACGTCCGCGACAAAGCGTCTGAATGGCGGTCGCTGGGGTCTGAGTCGCGATCGCTATGCTGGAAGAGAAAAAAGCTGTATCTAGGAAATATCTAATTATTCCATCAGTTTGGCATTATTACCGTATAGTCAGCGTGCACAAGTTTTACATTAAAGAATTCCTGTTGGCCGGTATGCTTTGCGCCCGTTGGCTTTGTTTATGAACGCTATATGAATCTGCTCAAACCTCTCTAAGATTAATAACAGGAGTAGAATGAGCTTTGAATAGTAATTGTTACGAGTTATTGATGATCATATTTTATTAAATTTCGCGCTTTATGTTTCAAATGAAGTTCGATAAATAAGAGTGAGCAACATTCGAAACCACGACCGCAAAGCATACTCGAAGACAGGCATTCTTTGAAAGGAGAAAATTTTATGACTCAACCATATAGTGACTCTCAGTATAACAACCAATTTTAACGAATTATTCCGATTTTATTCAAAGTCTATGCAAATTAGTGTGAGAACCAACATTATGCCCAATACATCAAGCAACAACGACCCCTCTCCCTCCTTTCCTGATTTGTTCTAAAGATGAGTGGATTATGACAACAATTACAAAGCAAGTGACGCAAACGTCCCGCCCCTTTGAAATCAGTAAACTCATTCACACACTGCCGAAGAAGAACTTACCTCACTAATGAGATCTTCTTGGAATCTTACGTGAAGGACAGGGGTAGCAGACAATTGTTCTCATTCTTCTGTAGCAGGCGGTAGTAACTGTGGTGGCTCTACTATTTCCTCTGCGGACTCGTGAATCTGAGGGTCTGGGTGAGATGTGGACGCCAGTCCGGGATCTTGTACTTCGGAATCCGCGTCAGTAGAACCTACAGTTCTTAGATGGTCACCACGGCATTGTCTACAAACCCCTGCGTACAAGAATAAACCTAAAATGAGTTTTGGTAGCATTATGGTTTGTTAGTTTGTGGTAACAGGCTGGATAGAACAAACTGTTTGGAACTTTTCCCAAGCAATAAACGGCTTGCCTGCATCCATTTAGGCATTCTAATATTTCCTAGAGGGAGGGATTTTACCAAGCTAGATTCTAAATAGGTTTGTGCCGCCATTCCTAGTCAAAAGAGGGCCCCTGTTGGAAGTATTAGTGATTAGTGCTGTAGAAAATACTAGAAGTCCGCGCGATGTGGTAGGCCAGCGTAGGCCATCAGTAAATGTATAATTAGCGGCAATTCCAGTGCGGATTTTAAACAAAAATGTCATAAGTTTTCAGTGAGGCGCTTATTTTCACGCCCCGTTCTAGAACACTCATTCTTAATTGACACCGGGCTCTATATTAAAAGGCCTGGCCCTGAGGTTTCGCAAAAAAAAATCTGTATAATCACTGTAGCTTTTGAGAGAATTACCCTATCCCCCGCCCCTCCTGGGGAAAAATGACCGATTAGAAGCAGGAACCTATAACTATGGGCTACCGTTAGAACGTAACTAGCTAAGATACAAAAAGGAAAACAACGGAAGGGCAAATTGACCTGGTAAATTCAAAAATAGATTAAAACTCTTGTAGATCAAAATTCACCACACAATCGCTTATTTGTTTGTTTGTTTGCTATTCTTTTGCGAAATAAATATTATACCCCATAACTCATAATTAATTTCTTACAAGATCTTCCATCCTTCTCCCCACCCCCGCCAAAAAAAAAAGAAAGAAAAAAAAAACTCCTTTCCCACTTGTGTATATATTAATAAAACAATTGACTAAACTTGTGTATTAGTCAATCATTTGCCCCATGTAAAGGAATCCGGATTCCGGAATCTTAGAAAATTTTGCTAGTGGAATCCGGAATCCCACTAATGATTGAAAAAGAACCCAAGTTCCACTGACAAATACTGGAATACAGTGATTGGAACCCTGTCTTCATTCCCTTACATGAAGCTAAATCATCAAGAAACCAAAGCATGTATAAGTACCGTATTTACCTTCAGTGATCACGCTTACCTGAGCCTACGGGAACCAAAACGTCCCACGTTTCCTTTATCTCTTTCGACATTTTCAAGTTCACCCCTCTGGATACTTTACCCTTACGGCGACCATGAAGCGGATGCTGGCATTTTCTTGAAGGACAATACTTTACTCCAAGTAAAACGCGATGCTTTGGGCAAATAACCATATCCTTACCCTCCTCGTCAAACAAACCGACACGAGCAAGTATCAGCTCTCTCTCAGAGGCTACACATGATTGTGTTGTTTGCAGTTCTCTCAAGTGCGCCTTTACATCACTGACGCAAGAATTCAAAGGAAAAAACTGTGTACGATCGGGGTATCTAGTTGATACGTGACACTCACTGGTACAGTGCACGGCAAAAGAGCACGAAAACTGCGACATCGTTTTTAACGAGAGACCTTTTCACCTCTACATCCTATACCTCTAACCGATCGGCGCATGTGAGAAACACTTTGAAATATCCATGCGCGTGCACGCTTTTTCCAATCAACGGTCTATTTATAGAAAGCGTGTGAATCTCAACACTGGGCTGTTAGGTCCATTACATATCCTAAGCCCGAATTCAACATTTACGATCGCCAAACCTTTATACATGTAAAAACTCCGTTTTTAAAGAAGAAAACAAAACAACTCAATTCGTTCGCGTCAATTTGTATTTTTAAAGCGAACGTTTGTTCTGTTTGTAGTTATTATGGAAAATCGAATCAAGCTATCAAATTACAAAGATGTATGCGCTTGCCAGGAAGTAATTTCCAGGGATTAGAAAAAAAGAAGCGTTTGGCTGTTCTTTTCTCCTTTTTTTCTCCTTTTCAGGCGTATTAGGCAACCGACTTGAGTCGCAAGCAAATCAATTTATTTTCAGAAAAGGGAATTCTTTTGGATAACGTTTTCTGTCACAAGATGCAATGTGGCGTGCAAGTTTCAAGCAATTGTACTATTCCTTTACCAGACGAACAAAAGCAAATTTTATTATACAATCATTCTAAAGTTCAAATACAGACAATGTAAGCATTTTGATAGTGTTCTGTGACTCAGATGTTTGACTTAGCGAAGAGTAAATTTCGTCACGAAGTTCACTTATACAATAATAGAGGTCATCATAAGGCCGCCGATTCTTATTTTCATGGCTTAGGACAAACTAAAGCTTTTGAATTGGTTCAATTTCATTAAAGTTTATAGTGTGTAACCATTTTGAGGCATTTTCTGTCTGTTGCTACGTTATCAGTACCGAATTAGCGCACTATAATGAAAGGAAAAAAAAAGATTGACGTGGGTACCCTGTGGTGGGCCCTTTTTTTATTTAGGCAATTAGATAGAAATGGTTCTATTTCATTAAAGTGTATGGCGTGTAATCATTTTGTGGCATTGTCTGTCCGTTGCTGTGCGATAATTACCGAATTAGCGCGTTATAATGAAAACAAAATTGACACTGGTACCCTGTGGTGGACGACGTGTTTGCAGTCTTCCTGTGGAATAATTAAATGAGTGCCCAAAGATTTTTTTGCAAATATTGTTAGTATGAAGTCCCGTCTTCTAGACGGTATGCTCCGTTTTCTGAAGCATGCTCCGGCATTGGAGATATTTTGGGCTAAACTTTGGATATTTCAACAATTTTCACTATTGGGTGAGAGGGGGGGTCTTGGCTGAGATGACTTGTGTCATAGGAACTTGTCGTAGAAAAACGAAACAGTTACAATAAATTGTATTTGGGTAGGATAACATTCACTGAAAATATGAAAAGGTTTGGTGGAATTCTTTTAGCAGTAGAGCTTTATGCTTTTGACCAATTTTTAGGTGTTTTTTAGTCATTTTTTTAAAAAAAACAAGGGGGGTGGTCAACTCCCCCCGGTTTCGACTAAATTTCCTTAAACTTAGAGTGAATTAGTTTTGGGAAGACCCCTTAAAACTGGCCAAGTTTCATCGAAATCGGTTAGATCGCTTGTGCCGCCCCTGCCTGGTCGTATCGTGGATGCACTCTTAACTGTCTGCATGTATTGTCATACCACGGTTTGCTTTTTTTGGTGTTTTTCCATTTTTTCTTTAACGTTACCAGGCTTATTTTAGCTGCGTGCATTATTAGTTTGTTATAATGCGAAATTTCGCCATCTATCGAAGGATAATCTTTAGCGTTGAAAGATTCGAATTGGCCTTGAATGTCTGTGCTTGATAGTGCACTCATAAACTTTTCAATGGATCCTGTCTTGCACAGGAATGTTTTAGTAGTGTTTTGAACTATTAGAGTATAGGAAACACTGGTATTGTTCCATTCACTTCGCTTTGTCCGACACGAAGGACGTTTGGCGACTATCAGCAGAACCCGACTGACCCGACTTTCTCCCTCAATGGCTTCCGTCGAGTCCGATTTTTATCCACCGGCTGCAGAACTGGTAGTTATCATGACCTATCAATGTAAATCCCGTGGTAAGGGGGGGGGGGGAGTGCGGGCGAGGGGCGGGGATTTGATGCCTGAGACTATCCCCCTGTCGGGCTTTGGATCGTGGGAAGCGACCCCGGGGTCGGGACATTTGTGTTTGACCGATAGAAGCCTGGTATCAATTCAGAAGCGGTAACCAAGTCCGTCCCTCGAGAAAGTCTTTTCTGAAAGTCACGCTGCTGGAGAAAGTTATGAAGTTTTCATTTGTTTTAATCGCCATAATCCGATACTTTACATGTACACTGTCATCTAAACAGATAATGTGTATTTTGAGAAAGTTTTTACCTTCAAGTTCCCATCTGATTGTAAACCTCGATTGAAATCGAATTCTACCATGAAAGTCAGAGGATTTTTTACAGGTCACTGATCCGACCCGTTCCGACATGTTGAGCCGATGTTATAAAGCATTTTACGTTTCATTTTATATAATAGCACGGTCAATCTTCCTGGAGTGATTATGTTGTTCAAAATAAGAGATGCTAGTGGAGAGAGAAAATACTTAATTACAGCGAGTAATTTAACGGAGCTTACGTTAACCTTAAATAAAAGTAGTAAGAACGTACTTTTGAAATGTTATTTCATTCGTTTTATATAGTATTATAGTATTGTTTGTTTAGATTTTTCCCCTGGGGTGGGGGCCTTTTTGACACTTTTGATTGACCTTTCGTTTCCCACCCTGGGGAATTTGATCAAAAAATTTTAAAATTTGTCAAATCCCCACCCCTTGTCCGCACTCCCCCAACGGGGTTTACATTGACAGGTGCATTATATTAGCGGAGTCCTTTAATCAGGATGGCCAGCCCAATGTTGGTCACATATTGTTCCACCACGTTGTGCCGAGTTGTTGTGACGAATCTTTAACCGTAACTCGTGCATAACTTGTGGCTATTTTTACATCTCAAATTACCTGGCGTCGCAGTGGCACAATCGCGGTAATCCCTCAATTTAGAGTCTCTTCTCGGGTCTCACCTAAGCCGGTTCAAACCCTGGGCAAACCAGAAATTCTGTAGAACCCCGCCTTACTCTTGTTATTAAGACTAGCTTTTTTCGGCCAGGCAAAACGGTCATTTTCTTATACAAAAAACCCCCGTTAATGCGGTCACCAGTTAATACGGCCAACGGCCACATTTTAAAATCCCAAACAGTAGAATCCCTTATAATTTCACCCCGTTAATGCGGCCACTCGATCGAAAAATGCCTGTGACATGTCGATTTTATTGATCTAGTAATCTTAGCTTATTCTCGTACTGTTTTTAGACTACAGTGCACTTAAAATGCTCTTGTGGCGATTTATAGCCGAAGTTTAAAAGAGTTTCATGAACTGACAAAAAGAATTAAAAGAAGTTTTTCAATTACTGCACGCGATATCTGCATTCCGCTTGTTTATCAATGAGATCAGTACGATGAATGCTATGTACGGTGTATTCCTGGTGTATTTGTCATTACGGCCCTCAAGTAATGAAATTTGAGCCTACCCCGGTAATAATGCCACCCCGTTTTGGCCTTTTGGTGACCGTATTAAAGGGGTTCCACTGTAATAATTATTTCTTCTTTATTTTTTCCAAAAGTGATACTGATTTCTTCCCCATAATTGTTTCTTTCCTCTTAAACAATAAATAAAAGAACTCTTCAAAAATTCTTCAAATCCATTTAGAATTCGCATATTTCTCTTTCTTTCTTACTCATTTGGAATTGAAACGATAAATACGTTCATACACTCACATTGTTCCCGCAAAAACCACACCCGATTCCAGACCAAACTGGGCAAAATCTACATCCGTTTTCACACCAAAAAGGCGCAAAAACCCTACTTGTTGGGGCGGCAGATATCTACATGGCTTATATAAGGGCTACCCCCAGGGGCACAAAGTTTGCTCAAAAGAAAACCACATTATGGGCTCTGCTGCATACAGATTAATAAATTTTAAGTTATTTTCCGTACCAAAATGGTGAAAATTGCACAATATCTTTTATGTTTTATAGCCAAACTTTCATATATGCGACCACTTCTCAACGTTATCGAATACCTCAGATAACTGCCCACCGATTCAAAGCACCAAAACTTCAGTTCCAGTCAGAACCCTGCAGTTGGAACCTCGTGAACGACCATCTTCAAGCGACTACGACCACTCTTTGGGGTTACGGGTTAACAATGTTTGACGGTGTTTTCTTAAACCACATGCAGTCAATAAACTTACTGTGCATGATCTCTAGCTATCTCTATGTTCGCCGTATAATGTACTGCTTCCAGGAGTATGCAAAACACTTTTACAAGTGACAACACACATCAAAACTTAGAAATTGCATGAAATAAATTCTTTGCCGGAAAGCAGATATCTCTGGAACTCTTCTCGAAAGAGACTTCTGTGGTTTTTTTCTCGCGATAGAAAGCAACTGCCTCATCCTGTAAGCGAGCACTTACGGAGAGCATCATTTTCTGTAAAGGAAACCAAAACATCGATCAAAGGTTCAAACTAGTCAAGATTTCAAAAAATGAAAACCCAAGATTTTACCGACAAAATTCTGAGAATTCACTGATAAAACTTGATTGTTAGACTAATTCATTTGTTAATAGGCTAACGGTTCTAAAAACATTTTTGATTTTCTCGTCTTGAGCTAAAAACAACTTGGGAGGGATTATTATCCGCACTGATATCATGCTCTTAAACATACAAAGCTTTCAACACAAGAACATTTTTCTAAGATGCGTTTACTTAAACATACAAAACTTTGAACAAGAACATTTTTCTCAAATATATTTAACGTGGTGGGCTAGAATTCTGGTGGCGGAACAAAATAGCCACTGAAAAACAAGAGAAAGGCATTCTGCGAGGCCAGAGCAGACTGCGATCAGTGATAGTCTTAAAGTGATTTTTTATTGTCTGAAAACGTCTTCTCTAATTCAGCTTACCTCCTTCCTGTCTCTTGTAGCTGCTGTTATCTATGGTCATGATAAGATTACCAAAGCCAAGACACTTTTGGAGGAATTTCCGTCATTGATGTACTAAATAAAAAAAAATTCTATCAGTTTTACAAGTAGTACTTCATAACACCGCCCCTTTAAAAGGAGTCTTGAGCCTAAAACGGGCATATAGTAGTGATCTTCTGCTTTGGTTTGCAGGACACGCCATCAAGTGTTACCAATGTCGGTCACCAAAGAGTTGGGATGACTGTGTTCCTGGAAACGATACGGCATGCCCTTTGCCCACACTTGACAGTTGCTCGAAAGTCAAAATAGTATTAGAAAACGAGGAAGGCAAAAACGTCAGCGTTTTCGTCAAATCATGTGCTGAAAAAAAGAGTTGCAACGAGGACGGCTGCAAGTCTGCCGCACAGGCTCTGGGTATGAAGTTCAAAGATTGCGATGTCAACTGTTGCGACACCGACCTGTGCAATGGAGCCAACGTAACGATGGTCCAACCTCCTTCCCAGGGAAAAGCCCTGGGAACGAGGTTGACGATGGTCAGCAGCTTCCTGTTCTTGGCATGCGTTCTAGTAGCTAATTTCCGTTAAAATATGTACACAGTTGTTTGAATCCGGCAAGTTACAGAATTTTGTGCTACGTTTTCTTAATTGCAGTTGATCAGTCTAGGTGTTTTGGTTGACTTTACGACTTAATTTGCTCATGTACATGTAGTGCTGTAATTGTCAGTATTGTTTTCAAAAATGAGTAAATAAAAACATTATAATTAATTAAAGTCACCGTATAGCCTTGATCAGCCTATTTTTATACTGGTAGCCTCCTCGCTTTCGTTTGGCTCACCACTTTAAAAAGTAACAATTGTGATTGTGAATATAATCAGAAACATATGAATGGACCTATAACCATGGCGAGGTTTATGACCGGGATTTTGCGGTATTAGTTTCCTTTTTCCACTTGAGCATATAGTAGTTTGCGAATACAAACGTCTGTACTCGCTCCTCGCGGTTAAGGATGTTTCGGGAAACGTCTTTCGCGATCGGTGACAGGTTAGGTGGTTTTGGGGGTCTCCATCCTTAAACAGGGCATCATTTTTGCCCTTGTTGGCGTTTCATTTTTCAGCTTGGGCCTTACTGCGCTTTTCACAAACATGCGAATTCTGAAGTTCAAAAGCCAACTGACGATTGCGTTTTTTGCTGCCGTCAATCATCTTAACGGACCTCTTAGGAAACAAAACATTATATTAGGGGGTTCAAAAGGTCAAGGTTTGTGGTTTGTGATTCGTGGATTTCGATCCGTTCTGTGTGTTACTGTGTTTCCAGGTTCGTTGCTTGTGATCGTAATTATGATTGACGGCAGCGAAAAACACAATTGTGAAGGCGGCTTGTAAACTTTAGAGTTCGCGTGTTTGTGAAATGCGCAGAAATTATGGTACCAGTTTTCGTTTGTATCACCCTTCCGATTTTGTCACATGGCAAACAACTTCAGTGCAAGCTTTATATTTGATTAAATTTTTGGAAAATTTTCACTCCCAAAATATCATTGAAAGAAACACTATTGAAGAAATGACACAAAATCTTTTTACCACCCTGCTACATAAGACGATATCTGTTGTAATGTCGGCCGGTGTGATCATAGCATACGACACTGAGAAATTATCGTTCAAATGTTATATGATTACTAGTGGTCTCAAAGTTGCTATATCCCATTTGAAAAAATGGCATTTTTCCATGGGCGTCTTAGGGAATTCATGATCGAGTGTGTGGGAACTCGCTATCCTGTTAGGCGTGTGCCTGATTCATGACTGTGCCCGCGTGGCCAACGGAGACTCCATCAAAAATTACAAATTGGCAAGTCTTTTTTGAAAAACAAAATATTTTATTTGTTTATTCAGGGATATCTATTTATCCTGGTTTTTTAAAGGGGCTAATTTGTTTGATATTTCATTTTACTGGATTTATGCATTTGTCTCAGTGTATTTTTGTGCTAATATTACCTTTCCCCCGAGTACTTCACTATAAGAGTCTTGCTGAAAATCCGTGACCTCAGGTCTTGCTAAAAATGATGAATATGTGTCTTTTGACTTAGGGCCTTTAATAGGTATGAACTTGAAAAAATGGAAGTGGACGAGAACGTGAATTCTTTGGGTTTGACAATTGTTAGTTTGGGACAAATTCTTCACAAAACTTGATTATTGTTTTTTGAAGTCTTAAGGCGGACTAAAGGTGATGTTACACGGGACGATTCGCAACGATGAATTTTAGCGCAACTCAGTGTTGCAATGTTGGAACAATGCTGAAATCATTTGAATCTATGTCACAACAATGTTGAAACGCTGTGTTGTGATAAAAATCGCCGTTGCGAGTCGTCTTGTGTGACATCACCTTATTAGGAATTGATAAGTTACTTCTTGCAGTTCGCTGAGGCCATTTTTAGTTTACGAGTGCACCTTCCCGGATTATTTCAGCGTAGTCTGCACGAAACATTGGAAGAATTCACTGGATACTGCCTCTGTAATCTTTGAGTTTCCAATATTGGCTCACGGCACAAGTTTCCTCCGCACTCTCAATATTCGATCAAATTTTCTTTATGAATTTTTCACAACCGCAAGTCCGTGCAGCCTGTTCGTTTCCTCAGTTTTTTCATTTGCAAACCGGAAGGAACACTAGCGAAAGAAATCCGGATCCATTATTTTATCTATATGCTATTTATAGTTTTATTCAGTATTGGCCTTTTTATATTCAAGTTTTAAAGGTTACATGCGAACCTCGTTTAAATTCACTTTTACGTTTCCGCACGGCCTTTCGTTCATGTCCTCTTTTTTATTAAAGCAGGTAAATCTTACCCTGCCCACGTAGCTGGGCAGGTTAAAATTATGCGACAGTAGCTAAGAGATCCACCCTGACCAGGACAGTATCAATGCAAGCGAATTCTTCTAATGTGTACATTGAGATAATCAAATGGTCTCTCAGTGAACTGCAGGAGAAAATTAAGTTTAGTTATCATTCCTTAGTACGCCTTAAGAGGCTGTCCGCGTAAGAACCGATAAGGCAAATTTTGGTCTATCACGGATTGCCCTGAATTTTTCAGTGGAAGATACCTATCTTAACCCATCAAGAAATATCACGTTTATTTGGACCAACTCAATTTTTTCTCTATTTTACAGAAAGATTTTCTAGGTCACCTAAAACTGGCCCCTTTGCCGTCAGAAGTGGTGCGATTTTGGTGAAACTTTAGGGCTCTTGCAAACCTACCTTACAGAGCTGAATAAGCTGATTATTTTACACACAAAAGTTTTAACTCTGATTAATAGTTTCAAGGTTTAATGGCTGCATTCTGTGAAAAGTTGGCTGAGATATGATTTTTTTAAAATGACCTTTAATTTGCTCAGAAGGAAAAGTAATTTGCATAACTAGAGCTGAACGGTAATTTCGCAAAAGTGGCACCTGACCCAGACTCAAGTCTATGATAAAACAGAAGTACTAAGACCAGTATACTTCTTAATGCAATAAAATTTGTGGGCACTCTTCTTTGCGTGCTGTACAAAGTTCCGTTAATTTTCCAAAATTCGCCATTTTGACAGCAAAGCTGGAATTGTAACGGTCCGCATCTGGTCGACTAATTTCCACAGCTTTAACGTTTCTAGTTATCACCAAATGTCATTAGACCCTTTAAATGTTGGACTTTCGAAAACATGTGAAGAAAACTTGGTAATCGCTTTTTCTTGGGTTTTTTCTTGTCGACGATGAACGTGACTTCATTCTCCGTATGCAAATTAGCCTTAGATGCGTCGTTCAACAACTTGACATGAAACATAATTGATAATCCTTACATTTCACATTTCTAAGGGGAAAAATAACTCTCCTTTCCACAAAAAAACACAAATCATCACTTAGAATCCCCTTAAGGTCTGTTTTTCTTTTTTTAAAGAGGAAGAAGCAGCTGAATAATATATCATGATATATGTTTGCGTGGCTTAACTGAAATTATTCAATTATTGGGGCCTGCCACGCTTTCCTAAAGAGGGGTGGTCGATTAGAAAACAATAGCGTTGTATCGATCAATTTTATTATATTATCATCTTTTTTTAAATGATAGTTATTGATAATAATAAAAAGTAAGAGTTAACTTGGTAAGTCCTCTTGTCAGCACAATAAAATTTGTGGGCCCTCTTTTTTGCTTATCAGATCTTTGTGCACGGCACTATGATAAAAAAAAAAATGCCCCACACTTTTTCTATCTTAAAAGTTTTTTAACCGAAAATCCATGTATAACTTTGAAAAAGGCAAATTAGCTGTAAATTTCAGTTTCATTCAAAGATCATTAAAGCGTTTATCGGTAGCAGAATGAAAGGGAAAAAATAGTTTCTTTTTTCAGTGAATACACGCGAAACGGATTATCTCAGTTTTTAGTTTTCGTTAGGGTATAACATCCGTATTCCAAAGATGATCTTGGTTTAGTTTCAATCTAATTGAATCATAATGCAACAGTTTTTTTCAGTTTCAGTGCCAGTTTCAAATATAATTATGTCAATGAAATCGCCGAAGAGATCAATTGTGAAAAATGGCTTATTCGGCTATTTCCGTATGATCAAGCTCTTCTTTCCGCGAGATCGTCAAGACAGAGTGTGGTCCAAGTAGGGGTGTGGAGGGAAATGTGTTGGTCGCAGAGTGCATGAATGATATTACGTCGCACTTAGCCAGCTGTCACTTGTCTAAGTGTAGCAAAGTCGATGACTGAATGAACTCATTTTAGCGAGAGTAGAGGTTTGGTAGGTATTCGGAATTGAAATGACAATCTGCCCAAGGCACAGACTCTAAATAGCCTATGTACAGACCCCCCTCCCGTTAGGAAAAATCAGAGAAGGGGCCGGTGGGGGAGGGGGTGGTGTGTACACAGGCTAACACTAAAATGACAATCTGCCCAAGGCACAGACACCTACTTGGCAGGTTTTTGCGAGCGCCAAGGTCTTGTTAGGCCCGATTGTAAGCCGCTGTGCTGGAAAATGAGCGAAAAGGGACCGGGAGACGGTGGAAATCGAGCCTAAGGTCTTGTCAATACCCCGGTCACACTCCGGATCATACTGGCAAAATAACCACTGTGGCAGGAAGACATGTCGTGAATTTCCAGATAGCCAGCGAAATAAGTCAAAGTTTTGCTCCTTCATGTAAGTATCGTTCTTTTTTCCTCTTCATGCAAAAAATTTCTAAACGTACAGAGATATTCTAATTTCTCTATTTAACATTTTATCTTGCGATGTTTTCTGATGTTCGTTTCCAGTTTATTTTAGCCTGTTCCAGGCTCCGAGATAGTGGTGGAAAGTAAGTGGAAAGTGGAAAGTCGTTCAGTAATAAGAAATGCGAAAAACGCGCGGGGGCTGGAGAGAGACAAGGCGGCGGAGCCTGTACGCATTTTTTTAACGGCCTGTTCCGGTATATCAGTTCCTGATATACCCTCTGATTGGTCAATTGTGACATTTAACATCATCACCTAATAGCGTGGTCATCAGTTTGTCATCACCAAGATGGCTAACGCGGATCGCGCGTGTGGTCTTCATGAATCCGCGTTGTCTTGTGCTTTAGACGAGTGTCTGCGACTTGGCTCGCGGTAAAGATGTTTTCGGTATTATGCTCACCGGTTTCGCCAAACGTTTAATCTTTCAGCTATTCCCACGCTTGGCTAAAGCTGCTCTAACCCTAGAAAACTCTACGATAATAGTCGTTTCGCCGCTGATAGCTGTAATGCGAGACCAAGTCATTGGAACAACTGAAAAAGCTTGGATTTTCGGCCGCGGCTATTTGGCATCGGTGAAGAGGGAGAGGAGGACGAGAATAAAGCGAGAGAAGGAAAGTGCGAAATTGTTTTCGGTAATTCGGAGTCCTGGTTGATCACAAAGTGGCAATAACAAAACAGTCCAAAGACTGTTAAGCTTATTCCGCAATTACCAAGGGAGAAACTACGCGCTCCAGTCAAAAGACTCACACTATTTTAAGAGAAACACTATTAAGCTGGAGTTTACTAAGTCACAATGCAATTCTCCTTAGTTGATGTAGCTTAAGTTTAAGCTGCACTTCATTCTTATAATTCTGGATCTGTAAATCACTATCCGTGATAATTTAACATTCTGCAAAGAAAACTAACGAGCTGGGCCCAGCGTGATACAACATTGCAGAAAAATATTTCATTAATTCAAGGACTGAAGAAAATCACTTAGTCAGTCAGATCCAGAAGGCACTTTGGAGAAAATTAAAACCCTTATTCAGCCGCAATAAAAAGGCTACGCTTCAAATTAGAGGTCAAAGAAAATGCTGTCTCATCAGAGGGCAAATCCTGCCGACTGAAACAAACGCCACAGTAAATCGATATGTGTGCCATGACCTCTCAGCGGTTAAAGTCACATTTGCTCAGTGACAATGTAGCACCTTCCAGAGCATAACCTACCCAACAAAGGAAAAAATTTACCGCCCCCTTTTATTGCTATAAACTAGAGCCAAAAAAACGGATGTTCTCACAGGATAACGAATTTGAAGACATAAATTTCCACACATCGCACAAGGAGTTCGCGTCGCGTGCAATGCTCACGCAAGAAACTTGAGAATGATTGTAGCTAACTGAAGTGTTAACAGTTTTGACAGCCGAATCCAGACGTGACAAAAATGGGCGGAAGAGGGTCGTTAAAGAAATGCTCAACAGGCTCTCTCTCCCATTTTTCCCGCCGCCACCGCCCCCTTTCCCAAGTCGTACGCGTCTTAATTTCGCTTTTAATACGTTCCCACTACGTATACTATCTGAGAGCCTGGCACAGGCTAAGTTTATTTGAGCTTGCAAAGATAGTTTATTTATTTCTATTTTTTGACAGCCGTGTATCTTGCCCTAATCAATTCTTACCTTTACTGTCAAACTCAGAAAACCGTGAACACCTGAAAAATTTCAGGAATGTTGATTGTGTACTGGCCAATCACAATAAAGTTCAGGACAAGCGAGCAAACCTCAAAACCACAAACTAATTACCGTTGCTGTTTGCAGTTTAGTTATCTCGAGCCTTATTGGCTTATTTCTCGCAACACAATAATATTCCATAAATATTTCTGGTGTTCACGGTTTTGTGAGTTTCACAGTAAAATACTATACATGAAGGTTAATCCGTGTGTTGTAAAATATAGTTTTCTGATGATTGTTTGAAGAGCATTATAAATGGTAAAAAAAAGAAAGAACTTTCTACACGGAGTCAGGATTCAACCTCGTCCCCAGGGCTTTCCCGCCCCTGCCATTTTCTAAAAGGAATATCCTGGGGACGTGTATGAAAGGTATTTCATTCTTGCAATAAAAATATTTTTTTTTCTAACTTAAACAGTGTTTAAAACATGTCTCTGGTTTTGTAAAAATTAGTTAGACTTAAAAGTACCAGAATGTTCAGTTCAACTTTATATCGCCGATTTGCTCCTCCTTAGCGCAAGAAACGTGAAAAAACTTGACGCCAAAGGGTCGAGAAGAGTACGATTGATCAGTCAGCAACCATTTCCACACCTTTGCCGGAGAGGTTTATTAGACAAGATTTCTCTGTTTTTCTTGTTTTGATAACGTTTTCATTAAGTCTTCAAAAATAGCTCCAGATTGCTGTTTTTTTTTTTTTTTGGATTTATACCCTCTTGAACAATGTGCTCCATCAAAGTGTTCCTCTCATCTCTCTATTTTGAACCTACTTTACCATCCACCCTCTCTCCCCCCGGTTCCACCTCTACTTTTACAAGCATTTATACTTAAAGGGGTGAAATTTCTCCTGTGTCAGTAAAAATTTCTGAAAAATTAAGTCCTTCTACTTTTTCCTTAAATTCTTAAACATAGTTCTTTTTTCTTTAAGAACCGCTAAAGATGCTGCTAAGGCCCCAATTAATAAGCGCACTTGCCATTTCATATACTTCACCTAGTGAAATGCCTACCCTTTCAT